GCGCCCTGTCGCCCAAGAGGCACCTGGCACGGGGAGCGCTCAGCAGACGGGGCAGGATGATTATTGCTGCTGTTCACTGGGGTGCAGCGTGGCTGGTAAATTCCTGGTCTTCTCCTCCTCTCTTCAGATCACAAGCTAACGGGCTCACTTCTCCAAGTGACTCCTGTCCACAGAATGGTAACAAAGCTCTGGGAACGAGGCAAGAGGTCTGTCCTTGGACGGCAGCAGCAGTCACTGTGGCCGTCAGCCTCCAAGATGGTCTCCAAAGGACTCCCACCTCCCGGCATTCACAGCCTGGGTCGCCCCAGCTCGCAACCCACTGGGCACTGAGGAAGTGCCGGCGTGCGCTGCCCAAGGCCAGGTCACAGAAGGCCCTGCAGCTGCAGTCTTGCTTTCTTGCATTGCTCACTCTGTGGGAAGCCAGCAGCCATGCTGCGAGGAAACCCAAGAAGCCCCGTGGAGAAGGCCCCGTGTGCAGGACCTGAAGACTCCTTTCCAACCATTCGAGCAAGCCATGTAGGAAGCAGACCCTCCAGCCCCACTCAAGCCTTCAGATGATCGAGAGAGACCACAAGCTGGGACCAGCTAGCTGTGCCACGCCTGAATTCTTGACCCATGGAAACTGTGAGATACTGTTAACAAATGCGTATTGTTTTAAGCCACTGCGTGTGGCACGATTTGTTATGCAGCAGTAGGTAACTAATACACAAACAGAGAGACCTCTTAGTTATGAGGGCCTTTGAGGGGCGTGTTCCCAAAGCGTGTCCCTTGGAATACTGATCCCAGGCTATGCTCTGGGAAACCAAGGTCAGTCTAAAGTAGGCAGCCTGTGGACTCCAGTCCCCTGCTCAAGATTCCCGGGGCTCCTTGGCATATTAAAGAAGCTCCCCATGGAAAAGGAAGCTGTTCTCCTGACCCAGCATTTTTTAGGAGCCTTTGACTCTGGAACTCTGCTGTCTGAGCCTCGGAGCACTGTTTGGGACACGCAGCCAAATCGTCATAGCAGCCGGGGCCTCGAGCACTTTAAATGGTTGTGCCCAACATAAAACCAAAAATACAGCCTGATAATCGGAGTATGACCTACGGCATGAGACACCAAGACGAGATGGCTGCTCCGCCACCATGGGGCCCTGTCCCTGGGCTCCTCTTCCAGCTGAGGGGCTGGCTTGCCCAGGGCCACCTCGGGGCCCTCTCGTCATACGACCAGTGGTATTGAGCCAATGTCTGGCCGGGGACCCCAGCCTGTTTGGGCAGCACTTGGGATTCGGATTCTGAATCCCAAACTCCAGCCCCAGCCCCACCGCCCACCAGCGCCCTTGAACCCTCCACCGCTCGCTGGTGCTGGCTGCAGCGCGACCGGCCACGCCTCCGAGTTGGGTATGTCTCAGCGGGAGCGCAACTGTGGTCTTAAAACACGGGCCACTGGAAAATAGCATTTGATGTAGAAAATTTCATTTTACAGGCAACTTTTTCAGAGCAAATCCACCCCCTTCAGCCAGGGAAGGTTGTGCTCAGAAAACCACATTCTTTCAGGTCCCTGGGGCTGTGTGGGGGCGGGAACAGAAATCTGCGCTAGAAGGCAGAGGTCTTTTCTTTTGTTAAAAACGTAATTTTACCCTCATGTTGCTTGTCTTCCCTGGCGCAGGCGTTCTGGGCTCTCTGGTCTTTGTGGAGCTGTCACCTCCAGACACACAGTGGCCCCAGGTGGGAGAGAACCCACGGTGTGGTCTCCCCGTGGAGCCCCTGCCAGGCCCCCGAGTCTCAACCTGCCCCCCCCCACAAGTCCCACGAGGACTCTGGCGCATTGACATCGGGGGAGCTTGGCCGCACCTGGTCCCACGGTGTCCCCAGCCTGCCACTGATGGCGGCCGTGCCTGCCTTCCGCCCTCCCCTCCGGGACCTCTGCCGCTTCTCAGAGGGGTTCCCGGCTGAGTTCTTAGGGCCATTTCCATGACTACTCCGTCCCCCCGCATCCCTCTCTCTTCACAGAGCTCCAGCGAGATGACCACGGCACGACAGGGCAGGAGGCCGGGAGACCTGAGCAAGACATGATGGCCACAGTCACGACACCCAGTCCCCACGGAGCAGTCACAGCCCAGGAGGGGGTGAGGGCCCCCGGGTGATGAGAGAGGGGAAGCCATCTAGCCAGGGTCACCCCACACAGAGCAGGGTCAGGATGGGGTACCCCACAGCCCCTGAACTCTCCCCGGACACCCTGCCGTGTGAGGACTTCCTCGATGGGGAAGTGGGAGTGACCACAGGGATGGTCACATTGCACCTCCATCCAACTGGCTTGGCCCAGTGGTTCCCAATCTGGGGTTCCCCAGGGCTCTCGAAGGCTCTCGGGGGGGGGCATGCTATTTCTAGCCTCAACAGTTCCCGACAGTCTCTGCACCTTTCCTGAGGGCCAGACCAACCCAGGCTCCACGCATCGCGTTGCTTTGCTTTAGAGGGGATTATATCAACCCAGGGCGCCTGTTCAGACTCTTGGAACTGGTGGGGGTTGAGCAGGCATCATCATTGCCCTTGTTAACCCAAAATGAGAAAGCTTCTATTTCTGAACAAACGCAGTTTGCTTGTTGGGCCAACGTGGGCCTTGGGGCACATAACGGCAGGAGGATCTTTTCCCGTGGGAATGCAGACAGGAATTAGTTTGGAAATTTGAGATATGGAAGGTGGGCATTTGTCCCGACCATTTTCCAGTCTTGGCGCTTGCTTTCTTTTCTTTAAAATGAAGTCGGTGCTTCCCCACCCCCATCCAGCCCGGCTGCTGCTGCTGCTGTAGTGGCAGGGCTGGTGGCAGCGCCGGGCAGCCACAGGCGGCCCCAGGAGGCCCAGGACAGGCAGGGCCCGCGTGCTCACATCCCAGTTCTTTTACAAGATGCTCCTCGCCCCACGTGCTCTGCACAAGCTGTCCTTGAGGACGACATGTGGGCTCTTGTTTGCAGGTTTTCAGGGAAGTCTGGCAGAAACCAACGCAGACACACTCAAATTTCTTGTAGAAACCTGCAGCAAGACGAGGTGCAGCAGCCCAGCTGCGCTCCAGGGGGTAGGGTCTCTCGGGGGCTTCCACCCTGATCTGCTGCCCTGGCTCCTTCTAGGCGGACCCCTTCCCTCCCCCAGCCCTCCCACCGCCCTCCCACCTCCACCCTGCAACTACAGGAGGTTTGAGGCCTTGGAGATAATGGTCAGGAGAGTTCAAAGGTGAAAGGTGAGAGCTCAGAAGTCTAAGGACACAGCGGGTGCTGCAATTAACCGGCAACTCAACTTGTAGCCTCTGCCTCAACAGGCTTCCTCCGTCTGCGTCTGCGACATCCTGGAGCCCATGAAGACTGGAATGTGCCTTCTCCATTCCGGAGTGGAAGTCACCTCTGGGCATGTGATGGGGGAAGGGGTGGTACAGTGGCTTTTTTTTTTTTTTTTTTTTTTTAAGGAACAGCATCTCACTCTGTTGCCCAGGCTGCAGTGCAGTGGCGCCATCAAAGCTCACTGCAGCCTCGAACTCCTGAGCTGAAGTGATCCTCCTGCTTCACCTCCCAAAGTGCTGGGATTACAGGTGTGAGCCACCACGCCCGGCCCAGGGGACTATTTTTAGGCAAGGCCTGTGGGGGCGTTTTGGCGATGACGTGTGGGATGAAGCAGTTCCACGGCCTTTGGTGCCCTTACGCCCCATGCTTTGTTGATGTGTCCCCTCTCCCAGGAGACCTGAGCAGCTCCAGGGCAGGGGTCACGTCTGGCTCCAGTCTGTGCCCACAAAGCGTGCCCGCAGCCAGAACGCAAAGTCGGTCGGGGGGCGTGTCCCCCCAACACACTGCGCCCTGCGGGTTCAGAGCAGGACTCGCCCGCCCACCTGGAGTCGCAGGGCACAGGCCTCAGCCCGGCTCCCGCACTTTCCCACGGTGGGGCTCAGGTGCCCCCCACCCTCTGTGCCGCCTCCCCCTCATCTGGGAAATGGCATCTCATGGGGCCGCAGTGGGGAGCACAGACCTGCCCACAGCGGGCCTCACTGCCAGGTGCTCTGAGGACGGAGGACCGAGTTGAGCGCAGGGCCAGCACGTGGCAGGTGCTCAGGCTCTGTTTGGTCTTTAGACCGATGTTTTTTCAAAGCAATATTTCTTAAAGTATAGTGATAATGATTATGTATTATTAGTGGAAAATGTGATTTTTTTTTTTTAAAGAGACAGCTTGACTTCTCTCTCCGCCCAACCCTGGCCAAGCTCCTGACGAGCTTGTGCTAGGCCAGATAAAAAGCAACAGGAATTCAGGGTTTTTGGAAACCAACTTCCAAAGTGTCCAGGGTAAGGGGTGGGGATGACCTCCTGGGACCCTATGCTCCTGTCTGAGGGAGGACACTCGCTGGACACCCAGCTGCTGGGGAGATGTGCCCACGCCAGCCCCACGCGGGGGGTCTCCGAAGCCAGACAGGCTCGAGGCCTTTTGGGGAGGGACGTCGTGTTAGGGGCCGTGCATCCACAGAACCCATCGCCCATACGCGCTCCGACATTTGCGCAGGACAAACAGAGCCTCGTAAACTCTAAAGTGCACACGCAGGACGTCCCTGGCAGCCAAGGCAAGGGTTGAATTGGTCTTATGACCTGGTAGCAGTCAAGACACGATCCACGCATGAGCTCAGCTGAACTCGTGGCAGCCTGTCCCCATTTCGCAAACGAGGAAGCCAAGGCCCGGAGAGGTCAAACGAGGCTCCCAAGGTCACTCCGTGGTACAGCCAAGTTCTTAACCGTTAGGGTCTCTGATTCATGACCCCTGGCCTCACTGATGCTTGCTTAAACCCGCTGCCTCCCAAACCAGGGGCCCCATCACAGAGATAAGCGACAGGGATCGACTGCACATGTGAATCGCCCAGGCTAGTAATCACGTGGTAGGTCACAGCCACTGCAAAAACTGCTTCCGAAAGTAACAAAATATGATGGAAAATATGAATCAGATCATGCAAAAAAGGCAAAACTGGAGGGCTCCAGGAGAAAGCAACTTTCCCAAGACTAGGCTGACTCTGGCCAACTTCTGTCCAATTCCTGGATAAGCAAGGAAAAGGTGGCAGGCGGATTCGGGTTAGAAGCCTCCCTGGTTTTAGCATGAGCCTGAGAAGCTGGTGGGCTGGAGTCGGGGTGGGGGCGGAAGGGAGGGAGTCCAAACCTCAGGCTCTGAGGCTCCCTTGAAGGGGGGTCTCTGTAGTGGCTGTGTGGCGTGGTAGTCAGAATTTGAGCTCTGGAGTCAGACAAATCTGAGGTGTCCCCTTGGCATGCCATGTGATCTCTCTGACCCTCAGTCTCTTCATCTGAAATATGTCCAGCAAAGGTTTACTGACCAGCGTCTCCAGGCAGGGCTGGTGTTGGGTGCTGGGGACCCAGCAATGAATGGGAGAGAGAAGACTGAAGCCCCCGGCAAGCTCACTGCCTAACACCGGGAGACGGCGGGTGCAGAGACAGACAGATTTTGACATTAGGCTGTAAGGAAATAACATGGGATGAGAACGCAGTTTAAATCTTCCTGAAATCTCGCAAAGAGACACCAAAGGGGAATTCCTTTGCACACCATACACAAACATGCTCTCAAGACTCTCTGCCCCGAAGGTCTCACGGCAGTTGCTTCAGAAATCTCTCCCCCCCCCCACCTCCCTCCCTGGTATCCTTATCAGAGAGGCAGGAGCTGCTGGGCCTGTCCTGGGAGCCAGAGGACTGGGTTGGAGCCAGCCTGTCCTCCCTGGCTAGGGGCCCTGGGCACATTGCTTAACTACTGTGTGCCTCAGTTTCCTCATCTGCAAATCACGGACAACAACTGCACCACCTTCAAGGGGCTGTAGTGGGGATTCCAGGAACCAGTCCCAGTAAAGCGTGCGAGGGCGGCAGGCACGCAGCCAGGCTACTTTACTCCACGTGGGAACCACCACCATCTCCTCCTGCCTCCGCACCCCTGCCCTCCGCACCCTACCCCAGCAGGAGCGCTGGGCCGTGTGGGTTTTCTAGGGCCTACCGCTCCGTGGCAGCTCTACCCATCATTCCAGACCACGCAGGGAAAGGGCCACTGCTGGGCAGGTAAACCTGGGAACTTTCTTAGCAGGAGGCAACACGACCTAGAACCAGGCTTACTCCCGCCCCACAGGGGCAGCTGCCCTGGGCATCGGTGATCAGAGGGCAGAGCCGGAGTTCTGCAGCCCTTGGGGCCCCTGGGAGCGTGCTCCCCGATGACATGCTGGGGAAAGACGCTGCCCCATCAGCTGCGGCTGCTGCTCTCCCCGAGCCTGGGCGGTGTGGCCAGGGCGGCTCCTGCCTCCACCTGGCTCCCAGGGTCACAGAGCAGAGCAGAGCAGAGCAGAGGATGTAGGCGTCTCATTCCCTGAGGAGCTCTGGGCCAGGCCCTTGCTGGGCGACACAACTGTGAACAGCTGTGTGTTTCCTGCCCTCATGAGGCTCACAGTCTTGTGTGCAAAGTAGACAATCGGGGCCTGAGCGTGCGGTGAGAACCCCAGAGGCCATAGAAGAGGGCCCACTGGGACACCAGGGAGGGCTTCCTGGAGGAAGAGGCACAGGCGAGAAGGGCTGGAGTGGGAAGGAAAGGAGTTCCAGGCAGAGGCCACAGCCTGGGCAAAGGCCTGGAAGAAAGTGGTAGGTTCAAAGATGGCAAGTTTTCATCCCACCTCTCCAGGCAGGTGCCAATTACTGACCATGGTCACATACCCCATCTCATTGGGTCCCCACTGCCACCCAGGGAGGTCCGAGGGCAGGAACTCTTCCTCCCGATTCACATGGGGACACCAGAGCTAAGAGAGAAAATGGCAATTCCCAACTGGACTAGAACCTGGATGTCCCGACCCTGGCCCAGGTGACAGACTCCAGATGCAAAACTGGGCCCACATCACCCAGGGCACCTGCCCAGCAGCCAGGAGGGCCCTGCTATCATCTCCCACGTGACCGGTGGAACTGAGGCTCAGTGAGAGCACAGCACCCCTCCACTCCTGCAGCTTTTTCTATGTCTAGGTGCCCTTCCCAGGTGGGGCAGGAAACAGAGCCAGAAACAGGGGTGACTCGGGGTGAAGGAAGGAGTGGAGCGAGGGGATGGGTGGCGGAAGGCGGGAAAGGCACAGGAATGTGGGTGGGGATGGGGTGCGCCAGCCCGGGAGGGGCCTAGGGCCCCAGGCAGCCCCCTCCCTCCCTGCCTCCCAGGTGAGACCCTAACTTCCCCAGACAACACCCCCAGCTGGGCGGGGAGAAGGACCAGGGTCCTGGCTGCCAATCAGAGGCACTCCCAGTCCGATGGCGGAGGATGGCGGAGGCAGCCCTGGCGAGGGCTCCCAGGGCCTTCCCCGGGGAGCCTGGGGGCCTGCCGAGCCTCCTGGCCCACCGCCCGCCGCCCACCCCCAGCCTCATTAGCACGGACGCCCGGCGTCCTCCCCTCGGTTTCCGGTGGCTCCAGAATTTAAAGGTTAAATCCTAACCTCGTCTCAGCAGTTTCTCCCGGCTTTGCCTACCCAGAGCCAGTTGCTGGTAATTATATGCATCTCCGAGCAGCCAATCAGCTGTCAGACTGACAGATACTGATCTTTTCGTTTTATTTTTAGCTCTGTGCTTCCCCCTCTAGTTGCAAAAAAAAAATTCTGTTTGTTCTGTGTGCTGCCGCCTCGCTCCCAGCCCTGCAGCGGCTCTCATCTCCGCCAGCCAGGCGGGAGCAGGCAGCCCGAGGGGCTGCGGCCTGCGGTCCCCACCCGCCTGAGAGGGGATGAGAGGGGACGGACGTGCCCACCGCCCTGCCTGGTGCAGCCCCCCAGGAGGGGGCAGGGAGGAGGCTGGGCACTGCGTGCAGAGGCGCCCTTGGACGGGAGCACCCACGGTCGTGCTTGGCCTTGGGGACCAGCGCGGGAGGGAAGCAAGTCCGTACCTGCGGGCCAGAGGCCAGAAGCGAGAGACAGAGACAAAGCCAGACTGAAGGGAGCAAAAGACAAGTTGCCCCTGGGAAGCACGTGTCCCCCACCCCCACAACTGAACAGAAGGGGGCAGCGCTGCAGGGGGTCAGGAGGGCAGTTTCCAGCCCAGGCCTACAAGGCTAAGGGGGTGCGGGGAACCTGGACCCCCTCTCCCAGGCGTGGTGCCTCATCTGCTTTGCAAGGGCGAGTGAAGTCCTTTTGTGGGTCGTTCTGGAAGGTTCTATGCAGGCTGGCAGGTGTAGGGGCCTGGCTGGCAGGAGGCCCCTGTGCATGCAGCTTCTCTGGAAGGAGAGGAGGAGTCTGAGAGCGAGGGAAGCTCTTAGGTCCCAGAGAGTCTCCCAGACAGCTGAGGAGCTGGTGCTGAAGAGAGATGGAGACGACTGTGAAGCCTCCTTCACCCTCACAGCACTCAACAGTTTGCAAAGCATGGCCCTGGCCTCTCCCCCTCCCCCACAGTTAGCCCCAGGACGAAGTGGAAGGTGGGGAGGCCTGGCGAGGGTCACCTCTTTTCTGCTTGGCCCTGGAGTGGGGAGGCAGGGTGGCCTCACAGTTTGGGCTTTGACGCACAGCTGAGCTGGGTTCAAGCCCCAAGATTGCTGCCTACACGCTCTGTGACCCTGAGCAGATGGCTCGAGCTCTGCGGGCCATGGTGTCCCCACCTGGAAGGAGGCCCCTGTCCCACCTCCCGCCCCACAGGGCTGCTCTGGGGAGCACAGTCACCCTGCATGGGTGCTCCCCCCACGGCGCCCTGTCACTTGTGCGCAGGTATTATTAGCTTCTCCGTTTAGTGGATGGGGAAACTGAGGTTCATGTGACTCGTAATTGGCAGAATTGGGACTAGAAACACCCCCCCCCCCCTTGGCTTCCTTCTCTCTGACACCACAGATGGCGCGCTGAGAAAAAAGAGAAGGAAGAGCGGGGAGAAGGGAATTAGGAGACCGAGAGAGATGGAGGAGGCAGAAGCACCGTGATCAATTACTTGGGCTATAAATTTCTGCTGTTTTGCAAAGTGAGCACACAACCTCGGAGAGGCACAGCTCCCGGGTGTGCTGGGGAGAAACAAAACAGAGGTGGGAACCAGAGAGGGAGAGGGGACAGTCTCAAGGGCGGGGTCAGACAGGCTGGCAGCTGCCCGCAGGGGGCCCAGGGTGGAGCAAAGCAGAGGAAGGCCACCACATGCCAGTCCGAGCCAGTCCCCTTGGGAGCCTGGGGCCCCCCTTGGGAGGGACCTGTCACCCTGCAGGGTTCACTCCCACTGCTGGCGGGTGGGAAAACCAGGCCTGGGCGTTAGGAGCCTGGCTGGCCCTCTGCCACTGCTGGTCCTGGGGGCTGGTGGGCAAGAGGCACTCTGAACCTCAACTGCCTCATCTGTATATAATGGGGCGAGTGACCGTCCCCAGGGGTTGGCATGAGAGATGAGTAAAATCTAGGATGTAAATGGCTCAGCATGGGGCCTGATACATAGCAAGCAGAGTTGGTGGTGTTATTATTATTATTTGGAAGATTACCAAGGGCTAAAGGGTTTGGTAACTGGTAGTTTGGAGACCCATTTAATTATTAAGCAGGTGAGGGGTGGTCGTTCCTCTGAGGAATGGGGATGGGAAGAGTTTCCCACAGTGGGGTGGCATGGGGGCGCTGCCCTGTCTCTCAGTCTTGCAGCCATCGGGGTGGGCAGGGACCCTGGGCTCTACCGCCTGGCCTCCACCCTCCTGCAGCTGCCGGCTAGCTCACTTAGGAAATGAGCAGTGAGCAGAAGCAGCTTATCTCTCCGGAATGCAAGCGCCCCAGGAAATGGGATTCTAGGAACGACCTTCTCAGGGCCTCCCACGCTCCAGCGTGCAGACGTGGCCCTGTGTGCTCCTCCTCCGCTGGGCAGGAGAGAATCCGCCAGAGCCAGCCCCAGGGCCTGCCCGCAGGGAGCTATTTGTCAGGGAGATGGAAAAAAAATAGATGCGGCCAACCCAACCCTGGTCTTTCGACCCCAGACAATAGCCAAAGCACACGGAGGCCACGGGCTGGAAGAAGAAGGCCACGGGCAGGAGGAACCGAGGACAGCCAGGGTAGGGCCCGAGGGCAGGGGTGAAGCCCAGAGTCGCCATAAATCACAGACCTGGAGAAGCCCCTTGAGGTCCAGGCGGGCGCTGGGCTTGGGCTGGGCCCAGGCTGAAGGCGGCGAGGGCTTGCTATTTTAAAGGAGCCCTAAGATGAATTCTCTTTAAATTGAGGAGAACCTCCCTGGATGGGGATGATAAAAATGTTATATTAGTCATAACAGATGTAAAAGCAGCCCCCAAAGAAAAGTTATTCCTTGCTCATGTTGCAGTCTACTGTGGGGGGGGAGCGGCAGGGGTCCTGCCCTCAGGGGCCCTGGCTCCTTCTCCCTGTGGCCCTGCCCTCCTCTCCTAATCACGGGGAAGGGGAAAGAGCGCGTGGGGATGGCAGGGAAGCATGTTTTGGACCAGGCCAAAAGGGGTGGGGGCTCATCACTCCACCCACGTTCTGCCGGCCAGAGCTCAGCCGGGTGGCCACTCCTGACTGCAAGGGATGCTGGGAAACGCAGTCCGGCCGCGTGCCCAGGAGGGAACCGCGACCCGGGGTGTGGTGAAACGGCAATCCCTGCCACGAATGCTGTCTCCCGTGGGTGGACGAGCAGAAACGGGCTGATGCCAAGAAGGCGCCTGGCGCAGGGCCCGGCCACGGCGTTCGTGTGGCGGAGCTGGGGACCTGCTCTGCAAGCCCACAGGCTGGCCCCCTTAGGGTCAGGACAGGCATCCGAAGGCTGTCCCCGGCCCTCCTCCGGAAGCTGTACGCTGAAGCGCTTGTGAGGAGGAGAGAGAGAGATGTTCTCGGTCTAAGGAGAGCATCCAAAGCCTTTGTCAGAGTCGCGCAAGCTCGAAGCACAATGGCTTAGGCAGAGCCGGGCCACTCTCCCACTGCAGCAGCAGCAGCTGGAACCGAGCGCACCTGATGACCCCGTGCACGCGGCAGGTGGCAGAGCTAAGGACTCCCCAGCTGCTACCCCTCTCCTCCACCAAACACGCCCCCTAGGCCTCTGGGACCAGGGCAGAGCAGGCCCCCTGGTCCTGAGCAGTGGACATTCTGGTCCACGCCTGCCGCGATGGCCAAAGCAGCCCTGCGGTTGTGAGGCGCCAGCGCGGAGGTGCGCTCACGTGTGCAGATGGAGAAACTGAGGCTCAGAGAAGGGTCATCTTGCCCAGGGCCATGCAGCAAGTCCGAGCAGAGCCAGTATAGTTCAGGGTCTAATCCGTCGGGTTTCTGTGGTTGTCAGCAACAGAGACGGGCTTCGTTCCCCTTGAGCAGGAAAGAGCTTCGGCGCCAGGCTGAGGGGCTCAGAGAACGGAAGGGAAGCAGCAGCGCCGGGTGGGCCAGGTGGAGACCAGAGTCCCGCCCCAGGGACTGGCCTCCAGGATGGAGAACGAGCTCCTCTCCTCAGTGAAGGAGGGCTGGTGGCCAAGCAGGCCAAGGCCTGCAACGGTTTGGATGTGTCCCCTAAATTTCATGTGTTGGCAGCTGAATCCCCACTGTGGCAGTACTGGGAGGCGGGGCCTTCGAGAGGTGTTTGCATCCCGAGAGCTCCACCCTCGTGAACAGCTGAGTTCACTACTGGATTAATGGATTCATGGGTTGTCATGGGAGGGAAACCGGTGGCTTTATCAGAAGAGGAAGAGAGACCTGAGCTAGCACGTGAGCACGCTCAGCCCCCGGCCATGTGACGCCCTGCCCGCCCTGGGACACTGCACAGTCCCCACCAGCAAGAAGGCCCTGACCAGATGTGTCCCCTTGACCTTGGACTTCTCAGCTTCCATAACTGCTAGAAATAATTTCCTTTTATTTATAAATTACCCAGTTTCAGGTATTCTAAGTAACAGAAAATGGACTAAGACAAGGCCCATCCTTTGGCAAGGAAGGACGGGGCATCTGGACTGACAGCCGACTCCCCGGGCTGCACACATGGGGGGGAGTTCCCCATGAGGCAACTGGGGGGCTCTTGCCAGAAAGGGGGGGCATGGGTGCTGGGCTGGCCAAAACAGCAGATGTCCACTCTGGCCTCCTGCTCCAGGGTTGTGCAATCGGAACAAAACAACCACAGGGCTGGTTTCCTGCAGCCCAGAGCTGTGGCCCAACCAGGGAATTCAGCCCAGAGCACAGCCAGGAATCCAGGAAAACAGAGGTTCTCGGCAAACCTGGAACCTGTATTCTGGGCTCTGCAGCTCCCCCAGGAGACTGGCAGCTCCCCGAGAGCGGCGGGGGCAGGCGGTTGCAGCCCAAGCCGGGCTCACACAGGGCTGGCTCAGGCCGGGGAAGGGAGATTTTGCAAGAAGGGATTCGTGATGGAGGAATGGCGGGGGCTCAGGGCTGGGGTCCAGGTGGAAATTCATCCCAGGAGGGCTGGGAGCTCGAGTGGGAAGAATGCCCAGGGAGTCCAGCAGGGCCCAGGAGTTCGGCTGGCGACCTCACCCTACCCCCAGCAGGGACAGTGGCTGAGA